TCAGATGCTGTAGATTTTATGACTAATAAAGAAAAAACTACTGTACATTTTAGAGTAATTAGCCCTTGATTACGTTTTAACATTACTTACAAAACTGTTGAACATGATATTATTGTGATCTTTGTGTAAATTTACTAGGACTGTAAACCTGTCTGGAATATTTTTGGTTGTGAAGCTATTCACGTTCTTGTGTGCAATAGACATAATCTGCATGGTTTTGAAAGAGCAGTTCTTTGATTTAGAAAATGACCAAAGTCTGTTACTCAATCTTTGTAGAGCAAAAATTTTCAAAATTCTCAACCACAGAACTCAAAAACATATCATGGGTTTAACTTTCACATATTACTTCTATACATGTATCCATAATCCAGTGTCTGTTGTATGAAAAGAAAGAGGTCTATAGAAAAACAGCTTGAGATAGTCCTGTAGTACTAAAATTACCAAAACTAAGTCATGTCATGAAAAAGGGAAAATCTAACCAAAAGCTCAGTTAACATTTACTAATAAACAGTTCTATATTTCTACAGAATTGCATCCTTGCTTGGTACAGAGACTTGTTTATTTAGTTACTTAAATGAATGAGTGACAGACACTGTTACTGTTGATTTAGCGAACTGTTTTAGGAAATTGTTTCAGTCTGGCACTTGTCTTTTCCTTCTCTCATCTGTACTTTGTTCTAAGGAGGTCTTTAAACATCTTGCTTGCAAGTCTTCAAAGCTATTAAAGACATCAAAATCCAAATTATTTTTCCTTTCTTTCCCTTTCTTAACAATCGATATCATTTGATGGTGGGATGTGCTTTATGATTTCAAGTTAGTTTATATTATGATATTTTGATAGAGATGCAAAAATTTATGTTGGTATACTGCTGATTTTTCATTCTAGTTTTCAACTTTATTGTAACCTGTTTTAATTTGTCCTATTGAACATATCAGGTTCAGTCAACGTAAATCTTCTTGCTTATGTATTAAACTTGTGCTTTTCACAGAACAATAGGTGTCATGCTTGCCAAAGTTCTGAACTGCAGCTTCCTTGATGCTGATGATTTCCACTCGGTAGCAAACAAAGGTAAACGTCACACTGGCTACTTAACTGCTTTCTGTTTCTTCCTGTCAAATTCTAAATAGTAATTACCTTTCAAAATCTATATTGCTTGATCCACAGAAAAGATGCGCCAAGGTATTCCTATTTCCAACGAAGAGAGAATACCATGGCTGAGAACGCTACGTGATGCTCTGGAAGAGAGCTTGCTTAGTGGAAAAACTGTGATACTTGCATGTTCTGCGCTGCAGAAGCAGTACAGAGAAATCCTCGGATCTGCTGATCCTAATTATGCACCTGGAAGTCATTCTAGTTTGGTGAAGTTTATCTTGTTAGATGTTGAGGCTGAAGTTATAGCTGTTCGACTACATAAAAGAGCTGCTGAAGGGACACATTTCATGCCACATACACTTCTGCAATCTCAACTAGACTTGCTTCAGATAGATGATTCTGAAGGAATAGTTAAGGTTGATGCTACTCCAAGCCCTGAAGTCATAGTAAGCAAAATGCAATCCGTACTGCTATCTCATCAAGAGTGATCAATCAAGTAACTTCCAATGGGAATAAACTTATCTCGTCCAATTCTTTTACAGAAAGGAATTTGAAGAAAAATAGAAAAACATTTAGTGAAAAATGAAAAAACTCATTCTCAATCGGTTGTGGTTAAGGCCACTAATTGTTTTGTTAGAGTCATTAAAATTTATTTATAAAATATTGATTCCATTTGACTTAATTGTTAATGATAATTAATAATTAATAATTAATAAAATAATTAATATTTATAATTTATTAAATTAAAATTAATTTATAAATTAATATTTTTAGACTTTATAATCATCCGTTTGAAAAAAAAATTATAAATATCAACCAAACTTTGATAGCCTTAGAAAAACTATACTTGACCATAGCCTCTTGAAATTCTTGTAGACCTATCTTGCATTATGGGAGTAATTGCACTCGTTTTGCATACATTATAATTGGCAAATTAATTAGGAAATTTAATTCAATTTTTAAATGCAAAATTTTAATTGTGTTTTTCACCTTTATAAAAAAATATGGAGCAGATCTGTTTTTAATGGCAATGAAAATATGGTGCCATGCTCAAATGAAAAAATCAAGGAGCAAAATTTAACCAAGAAAGAACATCCTTGCAACCAAGAAAGTTGAAGTCAAATCGTTAAAAAAACATAAAAAAATGAAACTCAACTCTAGCAGGTTAGAGGTATTTTTACACAGGACTGAAGCAGGCACATTCTCAGGCGTGCCATGCACAAAATACCGAAAAAGAAACTTCAAAAAAATAAAATAATAAAATAACCCAAGGTCACTAATGGAGACTCCAGTGGGTCTTTAAATAGCAGTCAAAACAATACAAAATTATTCATCAGGTTAACGAAAAACACTTGTAAATCCTCGAGCTTTATCATCAAAACCATAATTCTCAGTTTCCAACAAAAGCCATCCCCTTTAAAATGTTTTAGCAGTTTGATCAACCGCGTGGTGTGGTCCTCGCCCTTGAGGGCCGCCATGGTTCTGGCTTGCTGCCACCACTGCCCCATCGTTCAGATTCCTGAGATGGAACCCTGCTGTCATCAGAATCCTGAGGCGAAGCCCGGCTGCCACTGCCAAAGCGATCGGATTGTGGTGCAGGCCGAATCCAGCGACCAGGTTCTGAGGATGGGGGCTTGTTGCTGGCTGCCCAGCGATCTGGTTCTGGAGGTAGGGCCGCAACTGAGCCTTCCCCACTCCGCTGCCGGAACCTAGGCACATATTTTTCAGTTTTGGATGCAGGAGCAGGTCCTTGATCTGAAGGACGGGATATTGCTGGAGATTCAGAAGGCCTGGACAAGCCCTCAGACGATTTTCCAAGGAGAGATTCTCTTCTCAGCCTTTCCTTCTCTTCCAATTCTAGTTCTCTTTGCCTCTGTTTTAAAGCAATCTCATCCAACTTTGCCTTACGTTCAGCTTCTTCTTTTCTTCGTCTCTCAGCCTCTGCACATATTAAACCACCAATAAATACAAAGGAATAACAAAGCTCTCTCATAAGTACTGATACACAAAATTCCATCTGACGCTGTAAAGCAACATGGAAATTAGGGGAAAATTTGTTGAAAAATAGAGGGTAGGAACTGACGAATCAATAGAAAACAGCAAGTAAAAATTAGTCAGATGATAATAATTCAAATGAGTAAGTTGAAAAAAGTATGGCATAATGTATGAATAAAAATAGAATGAAACAAATTTCTCACACACCATGAAAAGATAATGAATAGCTTGTAACAAAATGTATACCTTCACGTTTACGAGCTTCTTCCTCTTCATGCAGCTTTCTCAGTCTCTCCTCTTCAGACCTCACAAAGAATATTTTTTTTCTCTTAACCTCCCTTTCCTGCTCCCTGGCCTCAAGGATTTGGTTAATTCTCTCCTCTCTCTCAGCCCTCCGTCTATCAAACTCTGATTGCCGACGAATGATCACGTTTTCCTGGAATATATTCTGTAGAAAGACAACACCGGGAGTTCATGTCTAATCCCCAACACTTGAGAGAATGAACAAAATAGAAGGAAGCAACTGAAGCATTGCAGCATTACTAATTAGAGAAGATCTATAACAAGCACAAAGCAGCATAAGCAAACAAAACTAACCTTACTATCCACCATACGTGCCAATCTGTTCTTCTCTCTCAAGTCACCATCATGATGCTGTCTGCTCAACTCAACTTCTAGCTACAAGGCAGAAGCAAAAATACCAGTCAATGTCATTTGTTCATATGGTACAACATTGAATGGCATGACTAAGATTCTAGGATTAAAGATATGTGCAAGATTAAGAGCAAAATAAGGGAGAAGGTAGCAATCAGAACATATTATAGTTAACAATATGAGAAAATTAAATGAAATGGAAATGCAGGCCAACAAAAGAGTACAGTATGTGCTGACACAGAAGTTTAATGGCAATCAATAGGTTTTTACTATTTTGGAGAAAATCATGGGAAAAATACATATTTAAAAGAAATTATCTACAAGAATAAAGACCACAAGCACAATGACAAATGCGGGTACACAAAAATTGACCTGTTGCTCGCGTTCATGAAGCACCTTCTCTTCCACCAAACGTTGTTGAAATGCAGCCTCAATCAAAGGAGCTGCCTCCTCTCTCTTAGCCCTTTCCAGATAATCCAATGTTTTAGCAAGTTTTTGTAGTTTCTTCTCCATTTCCTGCCTCTCCTTCAATTGCTCATTCAAGGCCCATTCCATCAACATTGGCTTTGTCAATTTCTCCTACATGCAACTGCAAAGTCAAACATGGCCCTTCAAAGTTTAGAGGAAAAAATGATAGAAATCAAATGCACACTCACTCCATCCAAAATTGCCTTCTTTTTTCCTCCTTTTCTTGCACGCTGCTTCTCTCTTTCCTCTAATAAGGCTCGTTGCTCTTCAAGCTCAAGTGCCTCTATTTCTTCACGACGCCTTGCTGTTCTCCGCTGCTCAAATTCAGCAGCAAGTCTCTTTTGTTCAGCTTCTTCAGTTATCTTCTGAATTCTCAGCCTCTTTGACTCCTCTTCACGCTCCTGGAGAAACAAAATAAATAGACAAATAAGTTTATCAATTCTTTTCATAATTTTAAACATTATCAAATGGCAAATCTCCATGAAGACCACTGCCTAAATTGAGATACCAGTTCTAACAGTTGTCGTTCTTGTTCTTCCTTCCTCTTCTCAATGATTGATTTCCTAGCAAGAAGCCTCTTGTGTTCCTTATCTACAGTCTCCCCTAAACCTCGCAAGAGTTCACCTAGTTTCAAATCCGTCTTTACAGGAGGATATATCATGGCTCTTGCTTTATTTAAAGATTCAGCAAGAACAGTCAGGTGATCCCGCAGTCCATCAGATTCAAGACCCTGAAATGTTCAACATTATGGACAAATGACATGAAATGTACAAAGCAATACACAGAAAGTAAACACCCGTGAACATTGCAACTTACCATATTACCAAATAACACAACACCCTTCATATGATCAACCTTCATAGCTATGAAATTGTGCTTCACAGCATCAACAGAAATCTTTTCCACCATTGAAAAGTCAAAAAAGGGAATCATCTGAGACAGATTCTCAATTTTCATTGTCTGGTATACCTGAGACACCTGGAGAATCAAAACAAAGAAAAAGTTAAAACAATAAATCTAGCAAATACAGAAATATACATAAAACATGAAAAAATCAATATAGAAAGAGATAAGAATGCACCTGCTGAAGCAACCTCAATGTAGCAAGTTTCTCAAGAGCAGGAACATATTGAGAAAGCTGAATTTCAGGTATGGATGAAGGAGATGCTAATTTACCCCCAAGTTTTGAGATTTTTGTTAACAAAGGCTGCACCTTTGATGTAATGTCTAGTGGTAGAAATTCATGCTCTAAAAGGTGGTAAAGATCTTTAACTTCTTGAGTAGCACAACTTAGCACACCTTTAGAGACCTAATAAAAAGAATCAAAACAGACACAAAATAAGTTATGGAAGTATCCCCCATGCAGCTTTGCTAAATTCATTTAGTTGTAAGATATACCAGCACAGATGCTCTTTATACCATCCTAAAATAGGTTTAGAAGACTAGAAGAAGCATGTGAATGCTTGCTTAATTTGCAGTCTAAGTGCTAAGAATATACAGAAGACAAAAACCTCTGACATAAAATTAATGTACCAAAGAAATTGAGGGATTGTAGAGCCATTTTTTTGGATGCCATATTAACTTGAAATAGGCAAATCCAACTTCTGGTAATTTGCAGTCTAAGTGCTAAGAATATACCGAAGACAAAAACCTGTGACATAAAATTAATGTACCAAAGAAATTGAGGGAATGTAGAGCCATTTTTTGGATGCCATATTAACTTGAAATAGGCAAATCCAACTTCTGGTTGGTAATTTGAATGTTATCAACAAAACAAATAAGCAGAATTTATATTCTCCTAAAATAGGTTATGCAAGTAATGACTGATTTCTCATTCACCCCAAAAAAAGAGGCTTACAGATTAATTAAAATTTATAAAATTTAACAGAAGCGGTACATTGGAACTTACAATAAACCAGCAAAAGTCTTTAGGATAAAAAATAAAAAAACAAAAGAATAGAGAATTTTAACTTACCAGTTCTGAGAGAAGTGCTGACCTTGAAAGCTGGAAGAGACACTTATAGTCAAAATGTGAAAAGATGAAGAAGATCAACTAAGACAAAAGAAAATCGAATTAGAGAAGACATACCACTTCTCTGTTCTCTGGCTTTGCTTCAAGATTAAAACCTATAAGATTGACCATCCTAATGTTACGCTCCTTCTCATTTTCAAGTTCCAGGTGTGATAAACCCCATGTCTGATCATATGGTGCCACTGACAAAGCAGCCAAAACAACAGATGATGCGATCATCTGCAGATCTTTCTGGCTTAAGTTCTTATTGAAGCTTTTTTGAAGTGTAAAAAGCTTAAGCCAAGCATAAGCATGATAGAGATGGCTGCCTGAGATCCAAAATATTTCAGTTAATTTGGCATAGTATATCACCATAAGGGATGGCTTAGGAGTTTTCTTAACCATCCACATCAATCCATGGATGTCTTCAATGGAACGAAAAGCTTCCTGTAAGAAATGTATGATAAGTCATACTAGCATGTAAGACCTACTAATTCTCATTTATTAAGGATGCACAAAACTGCACATATAGAAAATTCCAAACCTGCCACAGTTCGAGTTCGGTAGCAATCTTTAGCTGCTCAAATCTTGTATCAAGGTATAGTTGCAAGCTCTCTGGTGCTGACAGGTCAGGTCTGTCTCTTTGATCTCTATATTTGTTGAGATTCACTAAATGATTCCTAATAATCTCACATAACCTCCGGAACTCTGTTGTCCGTTTATACTGCTTGCAAAACTGAAAGGCCCGATGTGCTGTCATCTACAAGACATTTAAAACTAAGATTATATCACTTGAACACTGTGATAAGTATTTGAAATTCATAAAAATGGTCAAATTGCAGGAAATACCGCATAAATAGCCTCTAACTTTGAATTGTTCCGCAATATTTCAAGCACTGTTCTATAGGTCTCCCAAAGAAACTTGAACCATGGGGTAACAAGTTCACGATCAGACCTATCCTTTCCTTTCTCTCCACTAACATAGCTCAGCATCAGATCTTCCGGCCTTTTATCAGCTTCAAGGTCATCAACATCAAGAGCCTCTTCTAGGGCTTGAGCCTGACTGCGGGCCTGTTCAGCTTTTTCGGTGGAGAGTTGCATAAAGTACTTGATCACCTCCTCCAAGGAAGTAACATTCACTTGCTGGCATACTATACGATATTGAATTAAGCCATCTTTGGCATACCGACCCTTCCTCATATCAACACAAAGCTCAATATATTTCAACATAATTTTTTCATAGGGCTTTTGCCAAGCCCTATGTCTCTTAGATGTAATCAGATCATGCAGGGCTTGCAAAGCATCTTGCTTCTGCCCAACATTCATCAACTCTGCAAGTGGACATTGCAAAATTCAATGCAAGTAAGTTCAACAGAAATAAAGTGCAAAACATCTAACAGCAATTCCATCCAAAAAAAGAAATAAATATCAACAGTTTTATGAAGATTAAAAAGATAAACCTTTCAAAGAAACGGCGGATTTTTTTTCCTGAAAATCATTAATTTTTGAATAAAAAATTACCAAAAAAAAAAAAAAGGTGAAAGAAAAGGCAGATCTTTTCACCTTCAGCTCGCTTCAATGCATTCTCTGGTTTGGAAAAAGTCGCCATCTTTCAATCCAATTGCCAGAATCCACAGAATTGCCTGCAACACAGGGAAATCCATTAGTTCCAATATCCAACTCAAATCAAAACAGTCTGCAATCACCAACCAAAAATTAAAAAAAAATATAGACCACAGTAAATTTAAAACACAGAAACAATTGTAATCATCATAAACTTTTTTTTTTTTTTTAAAAAAAAGAAGAAGCATAGTATATGTCAAGCATCCCCTCGTTTCCATCTCAGATAAGGATTTCAATCCGATAAACAAGGATGCAACCAAAAAACCGAGTGCCGGAGGAAAAAAAAACATAGCAACGATCTCGATATTTCCACGTACCGGTTGATTTCGATAGTAGTTGAACAAATCCGCTTCCAGAAGCTACAATATTCCTTAATCTAAATTCGCGGAGAAGAAGAGAGAGGCGGCGGAGAAGAACGTACCTGAGAGTGAGAGCAAGCGGCGGCCAAAGTGGGTAACTTTCTCCAGCGTTCTAACGAGAACCCTAGCTGAGTAGTACCGTGCGCACGAGCACTATAGTAACAAGACCGTAAGCTCGTTTCTTAGAGCCTGTCTTATATAGAACTGGGCCTTTCTGTTCAGCCCAAAAATTTTCAGCCTCAAACGACGGCGTTCAGCCCAAATTTTTTCACTTTATGAATTTTAAATAGAGATTTACTTTCATATAAATTTTAAACAATATATTTAAATAAAATTTTAATCATTCATCTTTTTTCTTTTAATATTTAAAATTTATTACTAATTTTTAGATGAAAAAGATAATAAAAAATAAATAAATGCCAATCATAAAAAGGTAAAGAGATGAATAGTCTAAATTTTATATAAGTGTAATGTATAAAACTTATGTATACATACCTACAAACTCTTTTATTTTTATTTTAACTAGCAAGCTTAGGGAGGCTACCTTTGCTTTTAAGATTTAAGAGTTGCTTTGCTGTTTCTTCTCTTGGGAGAGATTAATGAGAATTATTTTTATAAATATTAAGAATCATTATGTGAAC